TACTTATTTTATAATAAACCTAATGTAAATTTACTTATTAAAAAACATGTATCGTGAAAAATTGCAATAAACTTTCATAATTTCCATCATATACAGATTCTTATAATATTTTATCTCATTCAATGCCTGTCGCCGTGTGGTGCAGTGGTTAGCGTTTGCTCTAGAGTCACGAACATGAAGGAGTCGATCCTTACGTAGCGGGTTCGAATCCCACTACGGAACGTGGAGACAGTTAAACCGAGGTCCCGTGTCGCAGTAAGCTCTGGTCAGAAAAAGATCCCTCACTACTCAATGCCTGGAGTGCTGAATATAGATCTAAATTTGCAGCCCATCAACGGCAATAGTGATGTCTCAATATGAGTGAAAAATTCTCGAGAGGGACGTTAGACAAACAAAATCATTCATGCCACCGTCTATCAGTACTTACAGTACTTTGATTTGTATTGTGTATAAATTATCCATCCTAATATAAAAATCTGATGTCTAGACTGCGAATTCTAATCCTTAACTATACTGACATCGTACGTAGTTCGCAGAATCAGGGAGGGCAATAAAAGATGGTTAAATTTATAGTTTTTGTCATGTACGTTTATAGACACAATAAGTCGCTTCGCTGAGTATCAGGTTTCTTGAGGTAATTATATCAATTTCAGCCACTTTACTGTTCCCTTGAAATATTGTAAGACCTTTGAAGGATTATGCCAGTAGGCACAACAAAGACAGCTTTCATTTGTTTTATCAGCGAAAGACGAACTATTTTGATTACACACCTGAATTGATTGATAATTACTTAAATGACTCGTTATTGATCAATAAAAAAGGTGCTCTCCGCTAAAGTATCGGAATCTTGTGGATATTTTTGACACTCCATAACGTGAATACTTTTTGTGATGAATTGTTCCAAAGAGAATATCAAACAAATATAAGAAAGACTATTAGGATCAAACTACGGTAAAAACAAATTTTAAAAGGCGTTATAACGCCTTTTCAAAAGGCGTTATGACGCGAAAAAAGGCGTAATTACGCCTTTTGAAAAGGTGTTTTAACACGGAAAAAGGCGTAATAACGCAAATAAAGGCGTAATAACGCCTTTCCAAAAGGCGTTATAACGCGAAAAAAGGCGTTATTACGCCTTTCCAAAAGGCGTTATTACGCCTTTCCAAAAGGCGTTATTACGCCTTTCTAAAAGGCATTAATACGCCTCTCAAAAAGGAGTTATTATGCCTTTTGAAGGGCCATTATTATGTCTTTGACAGGCCCGTGCTTTTAAATTGGGGGGGGGGCATAAAATTGACAAGCAAACAAAAAAAAAAAAAAAAAAAAAAACAAGAAACAATCCACAACCCCCCCCCCCCCCCCCAAAAAAAAATAAACTGCCTTAACTTCAGGGGAAACTTTTTCTAATTTTTCGGTAAAAATATTTTAAATGCAATGACTTGCCCGAGTTTAACCATACTGCAACAAAATGTTAAGGGACCAAGCAATCAATAAATGATTTTTTTTATATTTAAACTATAGCAAGACTATTCTCCCAAAAAGTGGACTGGGGGAGCCCCCCCCCCCCCCCCACTCGCATTCGTACTACCGGCCTGTTTGAAAAGGAGTTACATAAAAAATGGAAAGGCTTTATTTTAAAATAGTAAATATATGAAAGATTGAACCAAAGCCATCTTTATTTATGCAATATTTAGATTAAAGTTTTAATGTTATAAATTATATTTCAAATTATAGTATTTTCTATTTTCCTGCACATTCGCAGACAGTTGTTTGCATTTTGCATGCATATTAAGAGAAGTCAACACTCTACTTTTGAAAATCCAGGATATAGGCAGAACCAGCTTTGGGATTTGCTAGCCACGTATTAAAAATTCATGTCAAATTTGAAATATTTTTCTCTCCTCTTGGTAAAAAAAAGGCAAAGTATTTGCATAGGTATAATGAGCAATTAGCCTTCAACCAAATTTCTGAAATCCAAGCACCTTGGTAGAGGCGTCTGGCATCTGAGAAGGACTAAGTTGGTTTAACACTTTTTAAAAATCTTTTTTTCCTGGAAATCTAATTATAATCAGCCCCCAGGGTGGGCTAAGTAAGTCATGTATTGAAAAAAGAGGCGTAATAACGCCTTTTGGAAAGGCATAATAACGCCTTTTGGAAAGGCGTAATAACGCCTTTTAGAAAGGCGTAATAACGCCTTTTCAAAAGGCGTAATAACGCCTTTTGAATTTTTTTTACCGTAGATTGATCCTAATAGGCTTTCGTACAAATACGATACACAACTCATTGTTAAAACAAACATTTCCCTAACAGTTTCTTATTTTCATGTTTATCAATCAGTTTTCAATCAGATGTTTAATGAGTCTCGTGGGTGCGGCTTCCAATACAATACAATTCCATTTCGCATGCTTATTAACATTTGAAAAGTATATGTTGCAATACATCGAGTGATGCCTAATACAAGTACATGTGTAGGGAAAATATTCAATTAACAGAAATGTACTTAGTTCAATAGAAATATTTCAACATCTGTCTAACGTTTATGAAGAACCCTGCAACATCGATTCAATACTCACAATTCCTAGTACAGGCTCTCAGTCATTACCCAGTATCCTGGCCTGGAACTTTTTGAGTTCGTACTCTGTGCACAGACTCGTACACTGTACTCCAAAACCACACACATGCTCAAAATTCCATTTTAAATTGTATAAATAATTGAGTATGAGTATGGTTTTAGAGAACGCAGTATGAGTTTGATCAAAGAGTACCTATTTAAAAAGTTTTATAACCTCTAGGCCTGGAGAAAATATAGGCATACAAAGTGAGTCATAAAGAGTTAATATCAAGGTTTCTACCATCTTATAGCGAGTTTATATTGTAACGAATACACTGCATTTATAGTCAAAAATATCTTAGTAATAACTAGATATTAAAACATCTCAAGGAATTCATTCAACCAAGTTCAAATTTCTAATTAACTAAGCATGGAACATAATATCCAGTGTTACTGTGCAACACTAGTTAGCAAAATGGAGAGTTTCTATGTTGTTGTTTTTTGTCTGTTTTTTATGCCCATTTCCGGCTAAACAACGAAACAGAACAAGCACTGAATTACTGGTATTTAGAGAGGTTATGGTGAAATTGTTCGTACTCACTAATAAAAATTTTGAAAATAACGTGATATATCAAGGAATGTTAATTTTGTTTCAAAAATATTTAACTGAATCTCGATCTGTACAAGAAATGAAAAATATATACATTTTAACATAAGTTTGTTTTCCAAACGAATCAAAAATAAATATTGTTTTTTTTTTTTTGACAAGAGAAAATAGATAATTAGATTTGTATAACCCTTTTTGGAGAAAAGGGAATAGATTTGATGGAGAGGTGTATTAAATACTAGATGTGGTTGCTGAACTCTTTCCCTCATTGAGTTGTAACTGGTTAAATATTTTGCAAATGGACAAAGAGAGATAACTTTAAAAATTTAAAAGTTGAAAATATGCCTTACGTACAAGTTAACGTTAACCTTATAATTGAGATCCCTCTAAACACCCAATAGTTAACATTCTCAAAAGAAATTATAGCTTCTTACATAAATAGAAATTTAACTACCACCACTAATAACAGTGCAAGAATAGGAACAATACCAGAAACGTCAGAAACCGAGAGAAAATAGGAACAATGCAAGATACTTCAGGAGATATTTAGGAACAATACCTAACATTACAGGAACAGAGAGAAAAATAAAAAAAATCCCAGGCATATTTCAGAAATCAAGAGAAGACATTTCAGAAATCTAACGTAAAAAAGAAACATTTTTGACCATTCCTTTTCAGACCCATATGTTCCATTTCAAAGTGTTCTACAATATTGTGGAACTTGTGATATTTTAATAACAAGTACTTCGGCTTAAAATCAACCTCACTAGACAAAGTTTTTATACTTTTAATAAAAAGAATGTTGGGGCATAGGTTTGAAATAAATAATAGGGTCCATCAACATCTTTATAAACATTTCAATTCGTCTGACCCCTCTATCCTTTCAATGAGGGTAAGGATTTTTGAAAAAAAATTATTACCAACTGAAAGTCCCCTTTAAATACTCCATTCCATAAACAACGAGAAGACTACTGAATTAGGTACTGCATTTCGATCCGTATGTGTAGCAACCACCACAGAAATAATGAAGGGAATATATTATCTTTCAGGCCCACAATGTGCTAGTATGAATGTGATATGACTTTCTACACCCTGCATTACCTATATTGCCAATATTCCCAAACTTTTACTTCCAGACTTTTCAATTATAACAAACCCTGCAGTGCCTAGATATTGAACATCTAAAACAACTTAAGTGTTCTAGCTCTTTCTCTTCTTTCAATTATAGTCCCACTGGATGCGTCATTGGCTGCAGACCTTCATTTCTATTATGAATCCTGTCGATTTTGCCAGACGTTGAGTGAAATATGAAAGTGAAGACCTGAACACTTTGTCAGAATGGAATAATTGCTTTAGAAATATATTAAAAAATCGTGTTAGAAAGATAAAAGGCAATATGCAAAACATCTATCCTTCCCTTCTCACTAGATCGGAGGTGATAAAAGAATTAGAAAATATACATGAATAATATGGTTCCAGCAGACAAGGTTTGTAACAATATCGTCTTTGTTTGTAAGGCTCATTATTAAAACTATATTTTAGAAGAACTTGTTTTTCATACTACTTATGCTCACAGTTCACCTTCTAAGGAAGAAATTATTCAAATCATATTTCAGTCATTATTATTAAAGACGATGAAGACAAGCATAACTTCTTATAATTATTTATTTTTGAGTTGGCGTTTGTGGCCACGACCTACATAATACAATATATACTTTATTTAATCGTATATAACATTAATCCTTATAAACTTTATAATCCTTTTCCTTATAAACCTTATAATCCTTATCCTAATAAACCTTATAATCCTTATCCTTATAAACCTTATATATCCTTATCCTTATAAACCTTATAATCCTTATCCTTATAAATTCCTTAAAATGGGAATAGTGACAACACTCCTACTGGTACTGGGTGAGCAGATACTCAGCAGAAGTTGTGAAAAAATATTTGTATCATAGAAGGCGTCTCGAATAACCGCCAAATGGTTGTCCGATGAAAAGGACAACCACCGCCAACAAAGTTAGGTGGAATGAGAGACGCAAAGTATGTGTAGGTGTGGCCACATCTTGAAGATCAATCTACATATTTACCATTTTATAGTAAAACACATTCTTGCAGAGTCCTTTGTAAGTTGAATAGCAAGAAACAATTACCGAAGTATGACAGGTGAACTCCGTCACTACTAAACATTTCTTTTGAATCCCAAGTAATCTCTGGGTATTTGATAAAGAACCCACCATTGACAGTGATTAAATGATTCATAAAATTATTGAGTCTGACAGTAGCAAGATTTTGCGCTTTCGAGTTTGAACTAAAACGCCATGAAATTCTTGGCAACATATTTGACCAAACAAGTGTAGTTTTAGGGAGTAGTTGTTTAAGTTCCTCGAGTGCTGAACTCATAATGGACCGTAGTTGCAATAATGGAATTTTACCTATATCATTACCTCCACAATGAATAATTAAAATTTCTGGTGGAGATTCATACCTTAACAAAAGCTTTATTTTTGGAATAAGGTCAAACCATTTCATACCTCCCTTTCCCTGCCAAAAAATTCTGTAGTTTCTTCGTCTTAAACCTAAATCCACACCATCTAAGGATTTTCTTGCATAGTAGAACGCCCACTTAATAATTGAAGAACCAACAATCCAAATAACCTTTTCACTTCCTATATAAAAATATGAAAATCAATTGAGGACATCACTTAATCCTAATATACCTTTTGAAGGCATTCGAACTCCATCTACCTTGCTTTTTTTTATTTCTGTTTCCGAATGACCGTAAGAGAAACTATCTGACGCGGCCCCAATACGGAAAGAGTGAGATTTGTATCGTGAGTTTGGAAGGCCGGCTACTTCAAGAGTCTTATTTAATAACGAACAGAACTGAAACCTTGTGAGAGGACTACCGTCCATATGTATAAATAACTGGCCGTCAAATTTTGGCCTTGTAGCAATGTACCTTTTCAGCCACTCAACTGGACAGATAGAATTCTTTGTTTGTTGCAAAAATACGGATGTCCCTTTCCCAAGTTGGTCAGTTTTTGAGAAAGGAACTCGAAGCTCTATGAAACTTTCCCCAGAATCTTCATTTTTTCTAAACTTTATATGTTTGCAAGAAATAGTTGGATTTGCTTGATTTGAACAACTAAAAGTAAATTCACCGACTCTAAGAAAAGCATGATAAGCTACTGAAAATGCTGTTGAAAAAAGGATGGCCTCAAAGTTTGACGAACAAACTAAAGATGTTGATTTTATGAGTTTCTCAAGAATGTGTTTTGTGATAGGAAGTCTACAATCTTTTGAATGGTTTGACCTTTTGATTCCTTCCAATAATTTTCTAATTAAAAATTTTTTGTGTTGTCACAGAATCCCAATATTTTGCATTTGAAACTTATTCCTGATATATAGGATGAAATGGTAGCATGAGTCAAACCTTGCAGGGATAAATGAGCGATAAACATACAGATGTGTGGAACAGGTGGGGGCCAAATAGAACGCAGTTCATACAAAATTCTAAATTGCTCAAGCCTTCTTAGACTAGTGGAGTATGTTTGTCTTGTATTTAATGATACCGAATTTAGCGTCAGGCGTTTAATTTCAGCTCCAAGATCATTTTTATAAAATCTTCTGGAATAGGTGTTGGGTGTTGATCGGATTTGGGGGCGAGAACACGAAATCTGGTCCACTGTTTGCGAGAAATAGAATCAGCTATAACATTGTTATAACCATCTATATGACAAGCTTTGAAGTAAATATTGTTTACCATAGATTGCAAAACTAATGGCCTAACCAATTCCATAACCCGAGGTGATCTTGATGATTTTTTGTTTAAAATGGAAACTAAAGCTTTATTGTCAGTGTGTAGCAATATCTTCTTGTCGAGGAATTCATTCTTAAATAAGAAAATTGCAAGGACAATTGGCACTAACTCTAAAAACGTTATGTCTAACATAATATCTGGCTTCTTCCAGCTATCCGGCCAACCAAAATATGCCCATTGCCCATGAAGGTAAACGCCGCATCCTAAATGTTGATTGCCTGCACTATCAGTGTATAGATGAAGTTGGTTGTTAGACAACCAATTAACATTCATGAAATTTAAACTACCATTGAACCTGTGTATAAAATCTAGCCACACAGGTCGGATTTCATTCCCTTTGTTACCCTAATGAAATGACTGGAATATTTTATTCCACACATAGCATCACAAAATCTTCTGTTGAAGGCCCTAGCAGATGGAATAGCTTTGGCACAAAAATTTAGGGAACCTACTAAAGATTGTAATTCTCTCAGTGTAACTTTTGTTTTTTGTAACATCTCTAGCAGTGATTTCTCCAGATCGATAATTTTTTCTTCGGGAATTCTAATAACCATATTATCTGTATCAATTTCTATACCCAAGAACGTAAGAACTGTTTTTGGACCTTCTGTTTTCTCTTCTGCAAGAGGGATACCAAAATCAGAGCAGGTACTTTTGAATGAAAACATCAACAAGTTACATATTTCTAACGTGCCTCCAGCAAATATGAAATCGTCTAAGTAATGGTTCAAAGTGTGAACTCCAGTTTTTACTTCTACAACCCACTGAATAAAGTGTGCAAACTTTTCCCATAAAGCACAACTAATTGAACAACCCAATACTTTTACAGTCAACATAGTTGAGTTTGATTTACCCTACCTATACTGGATTCCTAATCTTCATAAACATCTCTACAAACAAAGATACATTGCCGGTCCAGCAAGTGCCCCTATCTTTACTCCTCACAAAAATACTAATTGCTGTAAAGGAGAAACTTCAGTACTGTGCTACAGCATATTCCAGAAGTGGTGTAAATCAAATGCGGGTTCCCATAAACTCGAAAGAACTCTTGAAAAATTAATAAAATAAAAATGGAACTCGGAAATTTTCATGTCTTGTGATTGTACATCAACAAAATTATTTTGTAAAAATTCTCATTCTAAACACAAGTACTCTGAAATTGATATTAAAATGATGCTGGAGTTCGTCATTGACAACATCTCTGTTGTCTTTCGAGACCAGGACTTCCAACAAATTGTTGGAAGTCCGATGAGCCTTAATTGAGCTCTTTTTTCCGGCCTGTTTTTATTTTCCTCTGAAGCAGAATTTATTCAAAAACTTCTACATGAGAAGAAGAAATCACTTTCTGTGACCTACAACTCGACATTTAGATATATCGACGACGTTGTTTTTTTCTATTAACAATAGTTACTAACATTTATATGTCGACTCAATATATCCCAGTGAACTCGAAATAAAAGACACCTTAGAGTCTGCCACATCGGTTTCATATTTGGATGTTTTACTGACTATAGACAATAAGGGCCAACTAACAACTTAATTGTATGACAAATGAGACTACTTCAGCTTTTCCATTGTCACCTTTCCTTATTTATGTAGCAATACCAGCATATGGTGTTTATGTCTCCCAACTTATTTGATACTCAATAGCATGATCTGAGTTCGATCAATTTTTAATCCGAGGCAAGTTACTGACAAATATGTTGATGTTACAGAGATTTTAAAAACCTTGTTTAAAGTCAGTATTTCGTAAATTTTCTCATCGTTATAATGACCTTTTTAGCAAATATATCCTATCACTGGGTCGTATTTTGACATATTCATACCAATAGTTAGGCCTTCGTTTTTATTCCAAATCCTAAATACTTCGTTTACTTGATCAATACATAGGGCTCACGGCGGGTGAGATAGGTCTACAGGTAAAGTTCACTCCTCCTGGGCACCTGAACCCAACTCTGTAATTTCCGGTGGCTCGTGCTTTATGTCCTGTTCACAGATTTGTATTTTTAATAGCTTTTGCTGAGATTGATCAGTGTTTGCTATGATCACCAGTTTTATAAAAACTATTATGAATTTAATTCAAAAGAAGCCGGAGAATCACTGAATTTTGATATTAGTCAAATAGTCGCAGTGAACATTTAAGTGCTACTTTGACAATAAAAGGTAACATCACGTTTTGAGGTACTGTTTGTGCTGAACAATCTGAAAAAATGTTCTGATACAAATTACTCAAAACTCGATCTCCATGTACAATCTTGACAAAATATTTTTATTCAAATTTGCATGTACAAACTGACAGAGTTTGCATGATTTAACAGAACCTAAGTTGCTTTTTGTGCTTGTACAAATAACCAATATATGTGACAGCTTGTGGTCAGATTAACGAGAAACTGTTATCAGGATGCATGCCAGAGTTTCAGGAGTAATGGCTTCTAATTTTATCCCACCAACTCATTGGTGTCAATTCAAACTTCCCTGCATAATGTCCTCTCTGATTCCCAGCGTTATTATGAAGACCACCACATTAAACAAAGATTCATCGATACTGCCTTCAGGTACTCTTTAGGAACTTGATTTATTGTTAAAGAGAAAAGTTGACATTCTATCTATTTCGAATTTTTATTCATCATATAATACTGAACTATCGACATTTTATACCGATAAGAGAAGGGAAAAGAGGCGGAATAGACACACACAATCGAAAATACATTAATGTCTCCATTGTCCTTATCCTGATAATTCTGAATAATTCATTAATTTCTGTGACAAATTATAGTTTCTGATGAAATATTTCTCCTATTGTTGCTGAGAATGCAATGAAATGTGACATTTGGCAATGAAAATCCTCTAGAGATTGTGATATAATACCAATAAACCTTTTCTATCAAAATATTACAACACTACCATTATCCTCGTGCACGACATACCGGTACTGCAAAATAAAAGACATCATATCATTAAATTTCAGTAGTAAATAGTGCTAATGATAGGTAAAAATGATACTTAACATAACCCTTCATGTCTTATGAAAAATGTATTTTTAATTAAATTATTTCTTTAAATGAAATGAAACGACCTGTGATACCGAATGCATGTTACATTGTCTATCATTGCTGTGAAATGATTTGTGAAGATAAAATTTTTGTGTAAAAACTAATAATCGTAATTAAAAAGTGCATCATAAAAGATTCTTTTTCAATCAAAGTTCGACATCCTCAAACAATGATTCGGAAAAACAGTGTGCTGACGGCAAATTAATGTCCTCTTCCAATCATTCATTATTGCCATTTTGTTTACAGACGTGCAAATCAGCTGAGATAATTCGAAGCTTAGAAATAAAACTCACTTAAATCATAGTGTCATTTAAGTTATTACTTCTTGCATATATGTTTTGACTCTATTCATGTTGTGTTGGAATTCCAGAATGACACATTGTGGAAGCCTGATTAATAATACCTACTCTTGTCTGATTAAATAGCTTTTGACTTAACTGCATCCCGTTAATTTTACCCCTATATTTAGAGAAACAATGCCACTTATATATAGTAATTGTGATTATACATATTTTTAAATTAGATTTATCAGCATTAAATGAATATTTAAATTTACAGCGAAGAAATTCTAAAAGGAAGTTTCAAGTACAAACTGTTTGAATGACATGTACTTACAGAATTCAGACTTTAAGAAAGATATTATACCAGTAACCGATTATACAATTCGTGTTAAATGTTCTGATATTTTAAGAATTTTTAGGAATGAACGAACTCAACTTGAATTATTTCAGTTATGACCTGGGAATAACATAAAACAGATGTTTATCCTGCGTAAATGAGAGAAAAATTCACTCTCCATTTATATGTTTGTCTAGAGCATTTGTTGGTTCTAGTAGTCGGTCACTATTTCTCAATGGGATTTCTTCAACATTAACATGAAGAGAAGCTGCCCAGTTACTTAATGGGGTCACATGCAGGTCTGGAGTCTCTAGTGATGTATAAGTTTATTGTTTTATCAATATAGTGATTTATCAAGCAATAATGTATAACTTTTTACGTGACTACCTTGAAGCTTAATACGTGTAAACATCTATTTATCATGTTTATATTAATAAAAAAATCACGACTGAAGGACAGAATAAGTCCCTCATGGTAACAATGGAATGTAACCCTAATTTGATTAATTTCTGGTCCTGTGAAATTTTTTGATGAATTAAGTTTATCAATTCCTGATGTAAACTCTATTTTAAGGTGCCTGGACCTTATCCTGTGATCTATAATAAATTGTAACTTGATATTTGTAATAAAAATTTTGGAAAAAAAATTACTGAATATATTACGTTCATAAAAATATTTTAAAGAAATTTATTTTGAATTACAGTATAGAAAAGTATGCATCATAACCACCCCCTTCCAGAATATATTCATAATTATCTTGTAACAACAGTGAGAACAGAATGAATTGTTTCCTTTTTTTTTATTCTGGTCATAACATTTGGTGAAAAAAATGTGTGCTAATATATACAAATTAACACAATTTATTCCAATTTACACCAATAATTTACATTCTTAATTTACCATTCTATGATGTGTAAATGAATCTCAGTAGATCATGTTGATATTTCGATCCTATAAATTAACCATTGAAAACTCTAGTTATTACAGATAATTGAATATGCGATCCTACATTAACCACAGTAGTAAGTTTTTTTTATACATACAGACAGATGTAACTCATTCAATGGACATCAGCTAAAGGGAATCCTGTATGAATTTTATGAAAAAAAAACTTTTAGATAAAATTTCCTCCAAATACAAAATATAAATATTTTACATTTGATATCTGTGAAGATCTCTTATTTAATGATGATTTAACAAGCAGCAATGACTGGTGGGGGCTAAATGAATCGACGCCTACAGTAAGCACTCTATTCTAACAGAAAACATGCGGAGTGCATTAAAATCCTATAACTGTGTTAGCTCGTGAGAGAGCGCGTCAGGGAGAATATGACGGTGAACCAAACTTTAGAAGAACTCACATCACAAGCTGTGGCCATCAGGCTACCGGTTCGAATCTTTATTGGAATTGTGGCCGTTCTTGGAATTATCGGCAATGGACATGTGCTATACCTGTATTACACCCGCTATAAAAGCTCCACCTACCGGTGGTTTGTTATGTCCCTAGTCATCATTGATCTGACCGGATGTTGTGTTTCAATGCCGTTTGAAATCGTGGACGAATCTTTACCGTATTCATTCAGTGATCCAATCTCGTGTAAGTTATTCCGATTTGTGAATTATTGTGTAGCATTGTCTTGTGCCTTTACATTAGTGCTAATAGCATCAGAACGATACAGAAAAATCTGTAAACCTTATGGAAATCAAATGAGTGAAACACGAGCCAAGAAGTATGTATTAGCTGTTATTGCCACAACATTAGTTCTTTCTGCACCTGTTCTTTATATCTATGGACCTAAAACAATTGAAATAAATGAAATTTATGAAGGGAAGGAGTGCACGTGGGGAGACCACATGGAGAACAACTCGACCTTTGGCTACGTGTACGCTGGCTTCTTAACTCTACTGATTGTTGTATGCATGATTTGTTTAACTGTTATTTATTCTATCATTGGTTACACACTGCAGAAACATGAACGTCAAATTCGAGCAAGGCTAGATAAAAATCACCGAAATTCAGTGAAATTAAATCGTGCATTCTGCTCCTCGAGTGACCTGCTCAAAACGAACTCTTACCAACAACAAAATGCTCGTTTGTCTCACAGCTGCGAGGAATTACCTGATTCACCAAGAATACATCGTAAAAAGTTTAATTTTCCTCAGAAAACAACAATTAAATTTTTGTTGGAAAGAGACACAGAAGCACATGCTAAATGTAAGAAACAACAAGACAATTATAACAGCGGGCATGTTAAAGAAACTTGGAACGAAGGATTGACGAAAAGTGAGGAAAATGTAAACAGTTTAAACCACTCCAACGTAAATACAAAAAATGATAGGAGTCATTTGGCAAGTAATTCTGGTGCTAAATCCTCCCTTAAAATCAAACAGGCTGCCGCACGAGTTCCTGGAGTAAGAAGGAACTTTAACTTAAAAACTCTTGGTAAGAATTTTCCAGTAGAGAGGAAAGAGAAGAAAATAACGAAAGTCCTTGTTGCCATTACACTACTATTTATTGCCAGTTTTCTTCCATATGTTATCGTGGTCATTGTATTTTTTATAAACCCTGAATACGAAAACAACATGACGTCATCACAACTTGTGCTCTATCTCATCGGATTCAGATTATATAACATCAACAATATGGCGAATCCAATATTTTATTTCTTATTTGACTCCAAATTTCGTGAAGAACTTTTATCTATGTATCGGTCTCTCTGTAGAAAAAGGAGAACTCAGTCCATGTAAATAGTGTTAACTACTTACTATTAAGTAAAGCGTGCTTCAATATTGGTTAAAATTAAGAAAAAGTAATAATTGTATATTGAGTGCATGTTATCAAGATATGGTAGAGAACAAAGATCTCTGGATTCTGAGTATAACAAATGAAGTGTACACTCTGGGTTTGGCTGACTTGTACCGTAGTAATAAAAAAAGATAGTATTATTTTAGACATAACATACAAAAGAATGTGTGATGTTTTTAAACAGAAAGTTATATCTGATATATGTACATCACCAAAATGCATGTTATACTATTATATAAGCATTTAGTTGACTATTTTTGTTTGCAAGGTTATTTAAAGAAACCTATTCATGTAAAATACAGAAAAACAATTACATGTTTTAGACTTTCAGCACATAATTTAAAGATATAAACTGGAAGGTATGACAACTTAATAAGGAGTAATAGGAAATGTGATTTATGTAATTTAAATGATATTGAGGATGAATTTCATTTTTTATTCATTTGTCCAGTTTTTCAATATTTAAAAGAGAGACAAGTTTATCAAACATCACTACTCCCGAAGACCAAGTGTCTTTAAACTAATACAACTATTGTGTTGTACAAATACCAAACATGTAAATCAGTTAAGGAAATATATACATGTATATCATGCTAATAAATAACGATTAGAATGTTTAAAACAATTTGCTAAATAATAGCATTTAAGTATCACAAGATTTTAAGTGTATAACATGTTATTGTACTATGTAATTGATAAATATGTAATACTGTATTATAATGCTTATGGGATGTAGGTCCAACGGAATAAAGAACTGAACTGAATGTATGATATGAATTATCTTACTGTGATATTTATGTTAGAAGTCTCTTAAGTTGTATATAATAATTCGCTTAAGTTGTATATAAAAAATCTCTTAAGTTGTATATAAGAAATCTCTTAAGTTGTAACAAGCTGTAAATCATTAACGTTAATATCTTTCTCGTTTTTATATACAACTTGTATGTGTTTATTTACTTATTTAACATTTATCTAATGAGACATTTTTTTTTTTTTTTGCTATTTGACATAATCTATGGCTAGACATCAAATAAATAATGTAAATATAAGAAATAATTTAATTTTTGAAAATTCATGAGGTACATGAACAACAACGCCTCATGCCTAACGCGTGAAGCGTGGTAGTTCATGTCCTCATGAATTTTCAAAAATTAAATTTCTTTCTTTGAGCTTGAATACGTTCGTTATCTCCATATTTCATTAAATCTCTTTGTTAAACAATAAAGTGAATTGAGTGAATTCATAAACTGTGATGTTTCACTGTGAACATAATTCTGTAAAAAAGAACTGTCTTGCTTGCTCCTCCATGGCACCTGATCCAACTTCTGGTGTTTTTAGAGGTCAGTGTTTGTTCTGTTCCCGATTTGTATTGTTTCATTGGGCTTTTGAGCTTGATTACTGTTCATATTTCCTTAAAACTTGTACAAGTTATGGGTATATCAGTAGTAATAGTCTTGTGGGTATTCAAGAAACTTACAGAACTCATCAAATTTGTCTCAAATTGCATCTCTTTGATAAAGTTACTGATTAATTAAACTACAATAAATATAAGTGATGCTTTCCCTTTGCTGTATTTGGTGTTTCTTATAAAAGTGTTCTACGTCTTATTATTCCCTGGAAGAGTAAGACAGAGTACTGGTCCTTAACAATTGCCGTAACAACTTTTGGAATAGCATTCCTCTTCATCTACAAATTACTCCTTACTGTTTAAATATTTCAAAGCCTTAACTTTGCGCCGACAGTTCGACTATATAATTATTAGTTCTTTTTGCTTCAGGTGAATGTTGATTGATTGATTGTATGTTGTTTTACGTCCCGTTCGAGAATTTTTCACTTATATAGAGACGTCACCATATATCCATAAAGTACGATGGCCGACAGCGGCCGCCACTTTCTGATTAAGAATATTGTCATTTTGTACAGCGTTTTTGTCAATTTTCGTTGACATATTACAACTAAACTGGTAATGCTATATGTACATGTACACTTTTTACACTGACAATTTACACCAGCGAAAAACATTAAAATTCTTTCGTGTGATATGAAATTAAGATACATAAAACAGGTGGCTTGAAAGAGATAAGGAGCATTTTAATGATTTTCACCCTCAATTAGTCTGAGATATCGTAACCCAGTTAACCCTAGATTAGACGTAAATCGTCATTCTGTCACCTTGTATCATTAAAAAGATATTCTTGGGATTGTAATTAAAAAGGCGAATAAAAGTAATACGTTTGTTGTAATGGATATACATGAATATAATGGATATATCTCGATCCTCAAATGTATGAGACAACTCGATTCTACCTATTATGTAGAGGTAGAAAAACAGGATTTAGTAGCTCTACATGTGAGCATCCAATCAAAAATTTATGAAATGTATCAAAAACAAAACTTTTGATACGGAAATATACCCAGCAAGAATAAAATGACAACCTTAAATGTGGGAGTCTGTATTTGCTCTCTAAATACGTAAAATTAATAACTAAATGCTTGAAACACTTTTAAAGGCCAACGCAACCTCTCAAGACTTCCACCTGGTCGGCCAATTATTTTTCAATGTAGTACGGGAATGAAAATATAGGTACATGTAACTAATGTTATCATTTCATCGTGCGCATTGTTTAAAAAACAAAATCCATACATCAAAGACACGTCCGATTATGAACAAAATCAAATTTCTGATAGACCTGGAAAATTTCATCCTGGTTACCTATGATGTGACCAGCAGGTACACCAACATGGAATTTTATGAATTAATTACTACAATCTGTCGAGAAAGCATATCTAGAAGACAATAGTAATCTGTAATCACCCCGACCTTGCTGTTCTGCTAGAACCTTAAGCTTATCACCTTCAAGTAACCCGTTTTATGTATCTTCATTTCATATCACAAGAAAGAATTTTAATGATTTTCTCCAGTGTAAATTGTCAGTATAAAAACTGTATATGGACATATAGCATTACCAGTTTAGTTGTAATTTGTCAACGAAAATTGACAAAAAAGCTGTACAAAATGACAATATTCAGAATCAAAAGTGGCGGCCGCTGTCGGCCATCGTAGTAAAGGGCTTCAAATTTTGACCTTCAGCCGGCATTCAGGGCCATTGAGCAGTGAGGGATCTTTACCGTGCCAACGCCTACCGTGACACGAGGCCTCAGTTTTTAAGGTCTCAGCCAAAGGACCTGCAACTTTTATTTCAATGTGCCGAGCGCTTGGCGAAGGAACAGTTACTACCTGTTTTTTATCGACGCAGTCGCGGCCCTGATTTGGACACATGACCTTCCGATCACAGAGCGAGCGCTCTACCTACTGAGCCACCGTGACGGCGTACAGGTGAATGTAGAGTCTAACAAAAAAGGAAGCTAACGAACAGTGGCGTAGCCCTGCTTTAAATTCCAATGTAAAAATTGTAACCAGAGTAAAAAATCATATCAGAGGTGGAATCAGATGCCATGGAGGAATAAGCATCCACTGTCGACCGGTCACACCCACGGTATACGCCTTGTCATGACCGGGTAAATGGAAAAATACATACGATTCAATATGAAAATATTGACCTAACAATTTGTATTAAAGAAGCCAATTAATATTCAACCTAATAGTATTTTGTATTTTCAAACACGGACACTGTATCGACCATAGAAATTGCGAAATGTTTATTTACTTTTAACGAGATTGTTGATCTTTAACTCATTGTCAGTAGCCTGCTACGTTTTAGAAATGGTTCCTATGTACATGTAGAACACACTCCTGCGTTTCAAATGAACGTGAGGATATTAAGGCCATTCGGGTGATAATGGTATATTGCTACATAAACAAGAAAAGTTGACGATAGAAAAATTAAATTCAAAAAGTTTAGTTGTTACTCTGTCAACAATGTTTTTTGGTATAACATCAGAATATGAAACAGAGGTATCAGACTCTGTTGTGTTGGGTATATAAAATCAAGGTATTAATGAAAATGAACGTTGTTATTGATAAAACGTCAACGATATAACTATCTTAATGTAGAATTGAAGGTCAAAGCTAGAGACTTCTTTTTTTCGTGTAGAATAATGAAATGATGTTTTAAAGGACAAAATGTATTCAAGTACGCACATACTAACATTGCAGTGGTATGACATTGCTAAATGATACTGTTTAAATTTTAAGTCTCGAATGATCTTTCTGTCATATCATAGAATGACTACTGTGTTACGTTATACTGTGTCTATATACTTTGTTACAAGTCGTCGGCGTGGCACAGTGGTTAGAGCTCTAGAGTGGCGAGGTGAGGAACTGATCCTTACCTTGAGCGTTCGAATCCACTGCGAGATGTGGAGACCGGTCCATTGGATGAGGCCGTATAAACCGAGGTCCCGTGTCGCAGTAGATGTTGGCACGAAAAAGATCCCTCCCTGCTCAATGGCCCTGAGTGTCGAGTATAGTTATAAATTTGCAGCCCTCCACCGGCAAGTGGTGGCGTCTCCATATGAGTGAAAAATTTTAATTTATGCATAATAATTTGCATATATGCATATTGCAATCTTGGTTCTGTTTCTCTCAAAATTTGAGCGCATTTCAATTTCAGATAATCTTTCTTTCAGAAACTATTTTTGTTAGACTCACCACCAGGATTATGATCCTAAGGTACTTTTATATATTTTAGCAGTGAAGAACGTTCTGTATATTGTTTTAAAAAATTCTTAATTTGATTATAATGAGACTTTGCAAATATGCTCACTATCGTTCCAATAACAGCGTGTCACTTTGATAGATGGAGTGTGCTAAAGTTTCATATGTTGACCACCATATTACTCATCGATTGGCTGTTTGAATTCAATGAATTGAAAACCACTTCACATATGAAACGGAGAACCAAATAATACCACAGACCAATCGTATTCAATTCTGTTTACTAGTGAGTACATGTATTGAACAACAACATGTGGTCATTCAACCGTTCAAAGCCTTCCGAATACGTTTTCAAATATACTGAGTACATGGAAAGAACCTTCTAAAATATGTATATCAATTCTTTTAATTCACACAACAACGTGCTAGAGTCTTTGGAACGAGAGTTGGGGAACATCATCAACAACGTATAAATAATGCATTTTTTATCTTTCACTTACATAACCTGTAATATATACAGTATACTTAAAACAATATACCTTTATCACCTGCATACGGAGTATATATCTCTCAGTTGATTCGATACGTAAGAACATGCTCTACGTATAAACAATTTCTAAAACGAGGTAAATTATTGACAAACAAGTTGATGAGACAAGAATATCAGCTGTCTCGTTTAAAGTCGTCATTTCGTAAGTTCTATGGTCAATACAATGACCTTGTCAGCTAATACAATTTATCATTCAGTCAAATGCTGACTGCCGTTTTTATACTAATTGTTAGGCCATTATTTACACATTGAATTGTCGACGGATTTTTTTCCATTATTTCCCGATCATGACAAGGAGCACACGGCGGGTGTGACCGGTCGGCAGGGGATGCTCACTCCTCCATGGCACCTGATCCCGCCTCTGATGTTTTAGAGGTCCGTGTTTGCTCTGCTCCAAAATTTGTATTGTTTAATGGACTTTTAAGCTTGAATACTTTTCGTTATTTCCCATATTCTAGTAGATTTGCTGCTGTACCAGTTCTTATGGTGTAAATTTTCTTATATTATTTTTATTCAGTCAATTTACAATGGACATGACAATTATGATTATAGGAAGTGAAAGAAGCCATGACTGACCACGTGTTGCTGTTTTCTGTACAATCATACATTCAACGTGTTCGAAGCGATTGGTCATAT